CCTACTTCACTATGTTGTTGTTGTGTTGAACACTTATGAGAGAAATGCTATGTACACTATCTTCAGAAAAATGTGGACTATAATTCTAGTAAATAATATTATGATATCTGATCTAAATTATCATTTAATAAGTTAATATTAAAATAGCAAAATATTAAATTTAAATTTAAAAAAATAAAAAGACAAGCAAAAGCCAAATGACTCATTTTTGTCCATGCTGAAGAATTTTAACTACCTACATATACTTTTAATATATGAAGCACCATCCATGGCTTGTATTTTTGAAGGAAGCCAATGTCAGAACCCATGAAGACACCAGAGCTTCTGGCTGCAATACTTTGGAGGAAACAAGATGGACAACTATCAACCAAACAACAAAGATTGAGCATCATTTTTGGGAATTTCAGACTGGAGTGACTTATGAATTTGATTGTTAGCACTTACAAATGCTTATGACATGACACTATAACCTGAAAGTCTGACTTGATTAAAACACTACTTTGGGTAAAAGTAGACATACATACAAGTCATTACAATACGCTTCTTAAAAGAAGTCTGAATAAATACTAGCAAACAAGAGAAAATGTGCATGGGAACCAGACTACTTTGAACAGAGGAGATAAATAAACATTTTTGCCAGTCTTATGCTTGACTCATGTTCAAAAGTTAGTAAAACTTCATGCTATATTTCAGTGAGAAAGATAGCATTAAAACATCTATCCACTCCAATTTTTGACACAGACATAATACAGGTAGTCCTCAATTTACAACCATTTGTTTAATGACTGTTTGAAGTTACAATGGCACTGAAAAAATGACTTATGACTGTTTTTCACACTTATGACCATTGCAACATCCCCATGGTCACGTGATCAAAATTCAGATGCTTGGTAAGTGACTCATAATTATGACAGTTGCAGTGTCCTGGAATCATATGATCACCTTCTGTAACCTTCTGACAAGCAAAGTCAATGGGAAAGTCAGATTCACTTAACAACCAAGTTACTAACTTAACCACAGTGATTCACTTAACTGTGGCAGGAAAAGTCATAAAATCAAGCAAAACTCACTTAACAGCTGTCTCACTTAGTAACAAAAATTTTGGGCTCAGTTGTTGTCATAAGTCAAAGTCTACCTGTACATTTGTATAAATGGCACAAATGGAACTCAATTATTCTTTTCACTGCCTCAGGATGCCAAACTGATGTTTTTCACTGCTAAGTGTTTCCAACTGATCTTGCACCTGGATAAGTTTATTTTAGTAGCATATTTAAAGTATGTTCAGGCAGAGATTCCTTGATACCTTGTTTTTTTTTTTTTCAATATAAAATTTTATTGTTTTTATCATAAAAAAAAAGAAAATACATCACAGATATTACACAATGTTATATCCCATCCCCCCACCCCCCGGACTTCCCAAACCAACCTAGGCTAATATTCAAATACAAGTAAACAAATATTAATATCTCTAACTCCAAAGTCTAAACTTAAACAATCCATCTCCTC